TGAGATAAATCAACAGCCGTCGTGGGTCAATGATCCAACAGGGAAGCTGAGTCTGCATGATCGCAAGCGGCTCACCCAGCTCGCGAATCAGCTCCGAGCCCTTCGGTACTTTGCCCTTGAGCGCCAGCTTCAGAAGTATTTGAAACGCGACGCAAAGAGTGGATCTGATGGCCGTTTCGCTGACACCTTTGCGGGAAGCTACATGCGAACGATGGCTTCGGAGGTCGCCGACGCGATCGACCAAGGCTTGATGCTAAGATTGGCCTGTATGTGGGAACCTTCGAAGCGGAGATCCTCGTACCGAGCTATATTCATTTGCGATAACGATAACGAAGACCCTGAAGATGACGGAGTGGGTTTACAACACTCAGTTCAGGGAAATGGACCTTCCTTGATCTTCACGGCCTCCTCCCCCAAACGCGAAGGCTCTACTGTGTACGATGTCAATGATATAGATCGTCATGTGTCCTTAGAAGTACAACAAGTGGGTTCTGTGAGGGAAGGCAACAAGACATTTCCTCAGCTGAAAGTCAGGCGCTGGGTTCTCGGATTGTGTTTCTTCGAGGGATTCGAAACGACGAATGTCCTGTTTTCATGGCCCCCTGGCCTTGAAGCGATTATTCCGTGATGCGCTTAGACAGACTTTGGCGTCATGATCAATAAGAACGATTTTAGCTTCGATGTCTTAGAGTAAGACAGTTACCTACAGGCACAAGGTTCTCTCGACCAGTCGAGTCTCTTGCCCGAGACAGCGACGGTCCTGGGAAAACTATGGTCCTAGGACAGCTTTGATCCTAGGACAACTTCGGTCTTAGGACAAGTGTGGTGATAGCTACGGTCCTAGGACAGCTTTTGTCCTGGGACCCATTTAGGACGATGGCAGGTGCAGGTGGGGCGTAGACCTCGGACCAACAGATGCTTTAGGCTGATCTTCAGACTTGGTAGTCGATCTACAAACATGTGTGCACCGTTGCGTCTATCTTACTAGTAATGATATCATCTTGATCTGAATCTTGCGCAATCGCTAGGTGGCCCTAAAAGGACGGTTCTCCTTAGAAGAACTTCCATTCTGACAGCTCATCTTAAGCCCATCGTTCATTAACCTCCTTTAAGTCCATCTTTTCTTGCTCGAGATGATCCTTAAGTAACAGAGGAAGTGCCGAGCCTTTTCAAGTCAATCCATCATTGGGCAGAAATTCCTTCACAATAGTCCAAGCAAGCAGCACGGCTCAAGAACGAGTGGTGTTGCTGGCAGAGCAAGCCAACCCCACGCTATTTGCAGGCATGCTCTGTTCTCCCAAGCTTGTCCGTCCGCTGTTGCCTTTGCCTCCTTGTGTGGTCCCCAGCCTGCAAGGCGCTATCTCATTCGTGATCTGCAAAGCCATTGAGTCGACATTTTCTCTGATCGTATCGATGGTCGTGGTCCGATTGCGCAGAAAGGCGGCCATACGTCGCGCCCGTTCCGTGCATTGAGCAATATCCTGCCAACGCGAGGTCAATGAGCAATTAGTAACAAAAGTCGTTCCTATCTCTGCCCTAAAGGCCCGAGCGAGGCTGCTCGACAGTGAAGCAGCACACTCCAAAGGTGCTGTAGCGTTGGTGTACCCAGCGGTTCCGTCTATATCCTCCCTGGTCCAGCCAGCCTTGCGAACTGGAACGGTGAGTGTCGCGTTTGATCCTGGTTTTGCAGAAGAAGACATATTTGGCAATGTGTAGAGCGTGGCGTTCACCTAACAAGGCTGCTGAACACCCTGCCAGAGGACGGAATTGGTAGACCGCATACTACGTGCCGGTATTGATTCGATAGCTTATGCCATTGATATGGCTGTGCAACTTGTTGCTGTCGTAACGGGAGACATCCGAAGGCACATGCGGTGTTAAAGCCAGAGGTTGAAGCAAGAACTGTGATGACTCGGCTGATGAAAACCCCCATAGGGGAAACGGCTCAATGGCTTCGTCGATTGGTTGATCCATTGGTGTGGTCGATGAGCGACTCGATGTTGAAACGGCGAAGAATGTGTGTGAGCGCGCAGAGACAGAAGGTCGATGCAGGGATTTACTGGCGTTGGTTAATAGCCAGCGACCCCAGTGCCAGTAAACGCCCACGCCTTGGCTGCCAATGCGCACGTCTTTGAACAGGAAACCTTCACGTATACGGCGACGTTCCAGCACCTTAACCTCAGCTCCAATCAGAATGCCTCCAAATCAATGCCAGATCCCACACCTCTATTGCATTCCCACTCAACGATGGCTGGCGTAGTCTCGCTATCTGAACTTAGCAGCTCCCTGGACCAACGCCGTTTAGGGACTCGGCTCAAGTTTGCTTTACCGTGATATTAACACACGCTTCTAGGTATCCCAAGCTTCGTATGATCCAGTATTTTCTCCAATTCCAAAACAACCCCGTTATACACCTCCTGCCGAGGATTATCTTCGTCTAGACCCATGGATTCAGTGCATCCTATACAGCGCTCGACCACAGCCTTGTAAACAGGGTTGATCAACGCTACTCGCTGCTCTAAGAGCTTGTGAGCCGCGATGGAATCGCGTATGATGCCGAGGTTGTCGCCTTCGAATGTTTTGTCGTCCGCTTCACGCAGCTAGTCGAGGGTCGAACCTAGAATGATCTCTAGTAGCAGGACTGGTTGCCAGGGACGGCAAAGAGCCCTCTGATAAGCTCCTTAAGAGAAAAGGATGTTCAAATGATAGGTACTCATCCCGTCGGAAGAAATACACGTTCTTGCGCGTCAAAATCTCGGGAAGCCACGGCGTCTTGCTCAGCCGAAGCACACTGGATGCAATAGCGAGTGCAAGTCGAACTTTCTCAACTAACGTAGCCAATGGCCGCTGTCCCTTTTTGCTCTCCAGGATATCACGCAAGGTGATGATCAACCAACCATCACTGTTGGCTGTTGTCCCCGAAGGATACACCTGGAAGTGGCGGTGGACACATTGCAGGATGCACTCGTACTGGTCTGCGACAAACCGCTCTCGTGGCAACGACCACAGCACAGCACAGACAAAGAGGACGAGAGAGCATCTCATGAAGACGACCTTGATCATAATAGCGAAGACGAGTTTTCCGACTCGAGCAGCGATACCCCTTCTCCAAAAACGGCTTTATCAACACTCTATACCGATATAGGCGAGGCCATCGACTGCCTCCTGCGCCTCTCCGTCGCCATCGCGAATCCTACACCACACGAGAGAGCGCACGTGGTTCTGTTCCTTCAAGTGCGAGGGGACATTCTCGTCCGCCCTGGAGCTCGGGCATCACATAAGCCATCATCACCTGCCAAATGCACCCGAAGAGCAACTCAGTGCCGTCACAGCCCTTGGCGAGAGAGCTACCTCAGAAAAAGTTGCAAACAAGTGTCTTCTTTGCGAGCACAACGTGGTAGGGTTGAAGCCATTCATCAAGCACGTTGGGCGTCCTCTGGAGTAGTTGGCACTGTTTGTACTCCCAAGCCTCGAGGATGAAAACCCGAGTCTTCAGGATTCTGCAGCAGATGAGTTGATCGCAAATTTGAGCGACTCCCGTTCGGAACTTTCCTCTAATTTGTCCACAAGACACCGACTTCCGGAACCAGAAACTGTTTTACCAGTCGCTAAGTTGCAGGTCAGAATGCCGCACCAGTTTGGAGCCATGGAAGGTATGAATCGATTCAAATGCTAACACTCCCCAGAACATGGGTTTGGAGACCGATGAGGAAATAATCCAGCCCCAGCAGCATATGGAAGATCCAGGTATCCCTGCTCGGCCTGGACCACCGCCACAAACATCAAATGACCTTTTCGTAGCCCAGGGCCCTCCAACCATCGTTGAGATAAAGGCGCCCATTTCCGCCAGCTCTAGCGACAGTGAATCCGAACAAGATCAGGACCAAAATATCGACAATAAGGCTTCGGGTTCTGAACAGCCTCAAGCTCGAGATACATATGTGGCAAAGAAGCGCAGGGAAACTGAGCTTGAGAGGCAGGCAAAAAAGGCTCCCATCAGGTTCAAGGATGCCGTGGGCCGGAAATTCAGCTTCCCTTTTCACCTGACTTGTACCTGGGAGGTAAGTCTAAAACAAATTACACCATCATGGTTATTGCTTGCTAACTATACTTATAGGGCATGGAAGAGCTCATTAAGCAGGCCTTTGTACAGGTGAGTATCCTTAGGCCTCATGTCCTAGAAGGCCATTACGACCTTATTGGACCGAACGGCCAGACTATCACTCCAGATGCGTGGGAGGACACCATTGAGCCCGACTCGCTTATTACAATGGTGATGTGGCCGATGGATAAGATCGCTCCAATCGGATCTAAATCTTCCCCGCTTCCGTATGCTTCGCCAACAAAGCCTCCCGAGCCCACCACAAGAACTTGGGGCAAGCGGGAGGTACAAAATTGACTCCCTGCTGGATTCGGTGCGGAGATACTGAGGGATAAACGTCACTAAGGTTGAGGAAGGAGTAAAAGTTCGGAGCTACCGACATCCTATCTTCAAGGACGTTATGTAGATTAAGTTAACAATTCTCTAATTAACCTGTCGGCTTGATTGGCAGCAGGTCTAGTCGTTGGCACCTCCAATACTGAATCTACGACCGTCCGATGGCGTAACCAAACATTGTTTGATTTAATGAAACAGCTCATCATGTGCTTTATCTTCGTTTTCAAGGGTCGCAATCTGTTGGCATACAAACATAGCTCTCGCCATTATTCTAGCCATCCAAGCTGTCCGCAAATTTGGGGTTTCTTCTTGAGACAGTTGCAGACGACATTACCGGAAAGGCTTGCCTCAACAAGAAGTTGGATAATGTTGTCGCATTTGACGTCGACACTCTCCCCATCGGAGCCAATTCAACCAAATAATTATTTTCGAACGTATCACCAACTCTTGACGTTAGTTGGTTGTGCCCCAGGTCCGTTTTCATTTCAAGCAGGAGAGCGTTCTCACACAACCAACTGGGGCATCAGATGAATTTGCGGCCTAGAAAAACAACCAATTAGCAGGAACTTTGGCCGAGCGGTTATGGCGCTGTGTTCAGGTGGAATTATTCACATGTTACAAATTCGCAGTCTCGAAAGAGGCGTGGGTTCGAGTCCCACAGGTTTCAAGCAATTCTCTTTTTGAAGTTGGGAAGTGATCCTTACTCTTTTTGCTCTCTGGATGAGAAGCATTGCGCTTGTTTGTCTGTCTTTAGTAACTAACTGTTAAGATAAAAATAATTATCTCTTTTATTTCACTTATTATAATATTAAGTAGAAATAGTCTTCTTAAGGCATATCTAAATGGGTTTATTAAGGCTTTATAATATTAATATTAATCTTAATAAAGACTACTTTAGTTATCCTTCACAACCATAACAACGCAACAGGAGGCAAAAAGAGTGAACAGAGTGGGACTCGAACCCACGCTTCTTTCGAAACTGCGAATCGTACATGTGCGTGATGACACCTGAACACAGCGCCATAACCGCTCGGCCATCTGTCCTAGCTTTGATTTGATGACGAAATTGTCCGCTAATTCAATAATAGTTTGCAAGGCCCAGGTTCTTCAGACCGCAATGAGATATCCACAACTGTTGAATTATACTCCCTGGAGTTTCACGAGCAACCGTCAGATGACCATTAGAACTTTTGCATTCGCTAATGTAGGTGTCAAATGAAGTTGCATAATCAGGCTGATTCAGCTTATGACGGATGGCACTTTTGCCTGGAATGCGACAATGTCCAAACTCGACCATGTTATCTCCGTCCATGACTGTTGAGGAAGTAGGCGTCTGACGCCCTCCCGCAGCGTCTCTCACCTTGTGTAACCTCCATAAGGGTGGGGAAACCCAAGCAATGATCTGCATCGGCTATCGTATTACAGTACTGTAATCTCTCCAACGTGCCATGGGCCCAACTGCCGAGAAAAACCGTGAGTTGGCATCGGATATTGTTTCCAGTCAGGCATATGCGTCCAATAAGCTGACCGAGTCTGCAGGCAATTCTGCAAAGGAGCTGCACGTGGAATAATGAACCCCACCAGCAGCTGACTCTTTCCGGCGGTGTAATGGACGGGTTATCGTCATCGCCTCGTGTTGGGTGCTTGGACAGCAGCGCCGTTGTGATCGTGGGCTGGGACCTGGGGATGATGCGAGATGGCAGCCCGACGCTAGAAAGAGGGATGGAAGAAGAAGATCACGTAGAAAAGGTGCTTGAAAGAAACGCTCTTGGCGGTCAGAAACGTAAGACTCGCATCTGCGCTGACCAACAGCATGGCCAGACATGATATCATCGGAGTCGGCATGTCACCAAGCGGAAAGCCGGAGTGACGGGATGGCATGCTTCGGTAAACATGCACAGCTCAGCCTGGCTTTTTGAGAAGCACACCTCGCTGCAGTGGTTCCGTCCTCGGGACTTGTGGCAGCCAGTGAGACGGCGAGCCCTGTTCCCCTGCTGCTTATTACTTGCTTATCAGCGTGCACCCGGGAACGTCACATCTGTATCAAACGCGCCACCGCACAAGGTACGCGTGCGGTCATGATGCATGGTTGGTCGGCGGCCGGGAGAACCGCATGTGGCTGTGACACAGCTCTGACTTCACCCGCTTATTACGAAGCTTGGCACAGCTTGGCATGGGAACCAGAAGCCTGGCGTTGCCGCTGCCACCGAGAGAAACCCAAAAAATGTTGCCCTAGAGACGGACTGCAGCGAACTGAGGGGGATATTCCTAGGTTAGGTACTCAACAGAGTTTCCTCGTCTGTATATATCCCAAACTATCTTCTCGACGTTTCATGCCGGAGAGCGGAGAAGAGTGCCGTATTGGGCAGCCACCGCGGGCTTACTTACATACGATCCTTCACCTGCAAAACCACCTCCGCAGCCATCACCAACGAAAGGTAGGATTGCGTGGCTTGGTGGCTTTCCGACATGCATCCATCTCATGTGCCTTGTGCCTTGTTTTCTTCCGACCAATTCGGCCGAGGGCTCATAGGGCCGTGTGGGCGGGCCAACTGACCAACATCCTCGGAGTCGGGATACAAGAGAACGGCCTGCGTTGGCCGTCCATAAATACCTGGGCTTCCTGGCCGGCTAGCAGAATGACTTTTGAATTCGAGTACACATTTGTATAGATCACATTGAGAGCCGAGGCCTGTTTCGCCATCGCCATGTTCACTCGTTACCTTCTCAGTGCCCTCGTCGTCAGTGCGGCAGCCTCGCCGGTGGGCGATTCTCATCAGCGGCGGCAGAACATCCCTGTTGGGAGCGCCATCTTCAGTTGCACCGTAGGGAACACCGTCGCCTTGACCTTCGATGATGGTCCCTTTGCGTACACCGAGTCAGTGCTGAACTCGCTCGCCGAGGCTGGTATCAAGGCGACCTTTTTCATCAACGGAGATAATTGGGCCTCCATCTACGACTATCAGTCGACCGTCAACCGCATGATTTCCGATGGACATCAAGTTGGCTCACACACGTAAGTAGAACCGCAGCACGGCCGAGCCATCGCCATCTTGAACCAGTACTAACATGACCTGCTCCTTCTCAGTTGGGATCATCCAGACCTCACAACACTATCTCCTTCGGAAGTGAGGTCGCAGATGACGCAGCTCGAGGACGCCTTTGTCGATATCCTGGGGTACTTCCCCACCTACATGCGGCCTCCTTTCTTCAGCTACAACTCCGAGACGTTGGAGACGCTTGGATCTTTGGGCTACCATGTCATCCACTCGGACATTGACACCCAGGACTGGGCGAACAACACGCCCGACACCATTCAGAATAGTGTCGACCTCTTCATCGAGGAGCTTGATGCGGGCGGCTCCATCTCCCTCGCGCACGACGTGCACCCGACCACGGCCAACACTCTGGTTCCAGCCATGATTGCCGCTGTCCAAGAACGTGGATTACGAGGTCAGTCGTTGCCAAGAGAGCCTTATCAAGAATGTGCGTGAGATGCTGACAGGTGCATAGCTGTTACTGTGGGAGAGTGTCTTGGCGATGACGAGGCCAACTGGTACCGAACGTCCCGGAACTAGGGGGACTCGAGGCTACCGCTTAAGGCATTTGGATTTGATGATGGTATTTTACTTCTTTTGATCTAGATCGATGATATTGACCAAAGATCGAGTACTTTATAACAACAGGATGTCCTCTGAGTCTAAATCCCGAAAGGGTTTAGACGCTTTGGGATTCTGCTTAATTTCTGGCACCTATTATTAATGAAAGACGTCTTATTTGTACCTGCTTGGGTGGTCAACTCCATGAGTGATCGATCATTTTACCATGTGATGATGGAGACTAATTTCTATTAATGTGTCCAATATCTCCCCGTGCTGTAAACTTGTTGTGTCATGAAGTCCATGCAACTCCCACATTCCTTTCGGGCTGTGATAAGGGCACCTCCTGGAGTCTCATGGGTTAGAACGCCGCTTGGCATAGAAATTCCAGGAGTACTTCCCCAGCTAGCCCTGCCATATCATCCTGATCAACCAAGTCTATACAACCTTTCAAATGTTGCTCTGGTATCATACCTAAATCAACTAGAGCTGCTGTGCTGGACCCGCAGATAAACCGATCAAATTCGGGATGCCCTTGGAAGGTCAGAACCCGACCAGGGTTCAGAAAACCTTGGACCTCGCAAAGCGGCGACATGCCCACCTGAATCCAGTTTGGAGGGAGGGCCGTCTCCTTTATCACCACTTGGTCTTGGTGAAGAAACTGATATGAGAGACTGCCGTTTTTGAGTAGCTGCGGGAACTTTGCCGAGAATTCTGTCGACAAGCTCACGCTGTGGACGCCAACCTGCCACCCATTAGGATTCTTCTGCACACCCAAGCCACATGGGCTGAGCAAAGCTTGCGAAACAATTTGGTGTCCAAAGCAGCCGCCGTATATCTTCACGTGAGAATGGTTTTCGTAGACATCTATCTCAGACACGGTTAATGAGGGGCGGTAATATTTGGGCTTTGATATTAATGAACGAACCTTGGATGAAGTTTGAAAGTCGATGGATCCAGGGCTGGTCTTCATACGCAGATGATGCCGACCCCGTAACGATGAGGGCGTCGATATCATTCAAGTCTGGATATTGATCCTTGTCGACGATATTCCACCCCTTCAATTCGACAACTACCTGCTCATTTGCGGGCTTCTTCTTGTTCCGAGCCTCTACAGCAGCGCAGATCCAAGCGGCGAATATGTCGTCGAACTGACCTCTCTCCCGAGCAATACTCTCAGGAAAAGTGAAACAACACAGCGCCGCGATGCGCAGTCGGCGGGGAGCAGTCATAGTAGCCATCAGGTTTGCTGTATCAAGATGCTGGAGAACATGTTCAACGTCCGATTGCGAAATTAGCACGAAATAAGCACCAGCCTAAGGCTTACCTCAAGGCTCGGCTTAGTGTGTCAGACGAAGCATCTGATATCGGAAGACATCGAGTAAGAGGATAAACTTAGCCGAACCGGCAAAAGGCGATTCCATGCGGCTCAATAACGTGACCCGACTCGCCTGACTGACAACCTTCCTGCAGTCGCGCGCAGTCCCTACAGTTCGAGCACCTCGGGCACCTCTCCACCAGCATCGGCTGCTTCCGCGAGCAAACGACTCGGTTCGGCTTAGAGGCCAAGAGTGTAAACGTATCAATCCGCTGGGGGGTGACTGCTGGGGTGGACGTGATATATGCATCTGGAGCCAAAACCAACTGGCGAGGTCCGAAGTGTGCTCCGGCGACGACATTCCGAGGGCCAAGGGACGTTGAGTTGGGTGGATTTCGGTGACGGATCGCATCCTTGCAGTGGTATCCGTGGCGTCGGCTCGAGTGATGGCGCATCGCGCCCGGCCCGGAAGAGAAAGGGGGAAAAAAAAGGCACACCGAAGTCGGCGATATCGTTTTGCTTCCCGCGCCACTTCCGTTAGTTGGGAGGATCCTCGGCGTTTGCGACAGGAGGCATCAATGCGGAGAATATACGATAGGGGAAGAATCCGATACCCCAAGGTAGTTGCTGGTGGACAGCGCACTTCCGAGAAAATGACATCAACCCGGGGAAACAGCCATCCGAACACGCCAGGAAGTTGCAGATAGAATCAGCGATTGTGTGGCCTATGAGGATCAGAGGGACCGGCTT